GGATAATGTCAAGGACACGTCAAATCCATATCTTGGAAACCGGATGTATGTGTTAAACATGCATTTGAGTAAAAAGAACACACAAAAAACAACTTGACATTCTTCCCCTGGTCTGAGAAGAAATGTCATGAAAACATGAGAAGACATTTTGTAATGTGAGGTTCACACGATGAGGAACTATTCCTGTAGACACAATCTGTCCCTCTCACAATGAACAGTCATCCTCAAACAAAATCGAAGTCACTTCTTAATTTACACTTGTGAGCATAATGCAACATGTGGTTTTCTGTAACTGAGATCTTCACCCCCATGGAGAGTGACTGAACTGGACAAACATACTGAGCTATATCATGACAGATGTGGGTGAGTGAGTGAGATGGGTTTGACACCGTCTTGAACCATAGGGGCGTGTCTCGCTTAGAAACAGCGTTAGAAAGCCCTATAGGTATATAGACCCTACCCTAGTACTATATAAAAGGAATATATAGTACCAGGGTAGGGTCTATACACCTATATGTCTTTCTAATGTTGTTTCTAAGCGAAAAAGCCCCTATGCCTTGAACAGTATTCCAGTTATATCACGGTGTGCCAACTTTATATATGGGCAAACTCAAAAGTGATGTAAGTCTCACATGTGTACCAGTTTGGTGAAACCGGTTTGACAAACCGAGAATCGTACCAGTTTGGTGAAACCGGTTTGACAAACCGAGAATCGCATGCAATGAACCAGAACTCGAACCTACGAGCAAAGGTTTCAACCATTCCGAAAGGACATAAGCCCGCAGACCGAATTAGCGCTTAGATATACTGAGCCTCCAATCACAATATGGCAGATATAATACGGTACCGTGTTTCATAGATGTGTGAATGAATAGTTCCACTGTATGAGCGGTGTCTGACAGTGTCAAGTATGGTCAAACATAGATATCCTGTGAGTGGTGGACCAGTCTCAAGATGAGGCAATGTATAAAGGTTGCGATAGGGCAAATACAGCTTGTAATAGGGCATATCATGGTTTGGGTTATGTTGTCTCACACTCCAATGCTATATACACTGATCAGTATGGGACCAGTAACATAAAGCGATCGAAGCTCTACCACTGTCATAACTCCAATACTAGTACATAGGGGGCGGTGGGGTAGCCTAGTGCACAGGGGCGTGTCACGCTTAGAAACAGCATTAGAAAGACATATAGGTATATAGACCCTACCCTAGTACTATATAAAAGGCCTTTTATATTTTACTAGGGTAGGGTCTATATACCTATATGTCTTTCTAATGCTGTTTCTAAGCGTGACACGCCCCTGTGGCCTAGTGGTTAAAGCGTTGGCTCGTTACGCCGAGGACCCGGGTTCGAATCCCCACATAGGTATATTGTGTGAAGCCCATTTCTGGTGTCCCCCGCCGAGATGTTGCTGAAATATTGCTAAAAGCGGTGTAAAACCAAACTCACTCACTCTCACTCACTTGTACATAGACTTATAGCGAGTGAGTTTACTTTTAAGCAGCTTTTTGCAATATTCATGCAATATCAGGGGCACTGAAATGGGCTTCACAGATTGTACCCATGTGGGGAAACGAACCCAGGACTTCTGCGTGGTGAGCGAATGCTTTAACTACTAGGCTACCCCACCATCCTACATAGACCTGTCCTGGAACTACAGTCGCTTTGTGGAAGGTAGGGCTGGGACGGGTAGGAAAAAATGGAATCGAGTACCCGCATGTACTTACCCGAATCGGAATCGAGTACCCGGAAATGTAAGGAATACAGAGCTTCTGTCAACTTTCTGAAGATTCAATCACTAGTTGAAAGAGATTATTGTAGAAAACTCGAATGGATGGCAATAAGACATTAAAACAGATCTAAGGCTATTTAATTTACGTCTGTTAAACCAATATATAGAGTAACACCATTACTTACATTCATTGTTAACATTTCGTACCCGCTGTTACTGTAACTTTCACTAGTTGGAGTCATTGTGCCTTTGTATAAGAAGGGTAACAGGCAAAACCCAAACAACTACAGGGGAATTTCTTTATTAAGTGTAATGGGTAAAATATTCACTAGTATTCTAGATTCACGTATTCGAGTTTGGCTGGACTTATGGTAAGATCTTTAGGATCTTAACAGACATATATAATAAGGTCAGAGCGTGCGTCCGAGTTGGCAGTAATAGGTCGGATATATTCACAACTTCACATGGCGTCAGACAAGGGTGTATGTTGAGTCCGGTATTGTTTATATATTTTATAAATGAGTTAGTAGAGGAAATGCAAAATAGTGGTATAAGGGGTATATTTGTCAAATCGGAACTGGGCGACACTTTACTGCTGCTCTTTTCCGATGATGTCACCATGGTAGATGATTCTGTCGTAGGGCTGCAGCGAAAATTAGATTTCCTACATACACTTTATTTGAAATTGGGTCTGGAGGTGAATTTAGATAAGTCTCAAATTATTGTCTTTAGAAATGGTGGCTATCTTAGAAGTACAGAGAAATGGTTTTATGATGGTAAGGAAATGAGAGTTGTTAGCTATTATAAGTATTTGTGTGTCATATTTTCCTCAAGGCTAGTGTGGTCTAAAGTTTGTGAAACTCTGTCGTTAACAGCAATGAAAGTGAGCATTCCTGTCAAACAAGTGCTGATAAAGTATGACGCACCTCATGAAATGGCTAAAAACATATTTGACACGAAAATAGCACCTATTTTGCTTTATGGCGCTGAAATTTGGGATATACATATAGAGCAGATATTGGAAAGCTTCAGGGGCTCGTTCTTCGGGAAGTATGTAGGTTTAGGAATATTCGTGTCTACAAAAGCTGTGTTAGGGGAGTTGGGCAGATATCAAATGGCTGTTAAAAATTTTAATCGTTGTATCAGGTACTGGTGTAGACTCGTGAGAATGAGTAGCCATTGGGGTTTACTCCCATAAGAACTACATCCCATTTGAACTACATCCCAAAATAACTACAGGGATTAATTAGGGATTAATTATTTGAGCAGAGGCACCCCCATGACACGTAATGAGCACAGTCCATCAGCTCTCCCATATGAACTACTATTGACCAGTAATTATGTTGTTGTAAACATAATAACCAGAAAGTAAAGGACAAGAGAGAAGGGTATATTGTAGTTAGTTAATGTGCTTGTATTCATATGATAGGAAAAAACCACAAGCCAAGCCTAGCATATTGGTGTAAAAGGTATATTGGAGTAAAGGTGAAATATAAACGAAAGAGTTTTGAAGTTAAAATAGTATAATTGTTTATATACTGCAATCCAGTACCACGATGCAGTTGGCTACTTATTGAAGCTGGGCTAAACTAGTTCTACATGGATCAGATTGAACACCGAGGTTGAAAGTGACACTAAATTATCACACTAAATATTTAATCCTATCTATAGATGAACTCTGTACATCTATATATATAACTCCAGACTTTATCTGCACAAGATATTTCGCCGTTCAACAGCTCTTCATGTGTACAATGAAAACTAAGTGTCGTCATAAGCGATGCATAACGGTAGTAGCTATGTCGTCATCATGGGTATGACGTTAGTGACAATAGGTAATATGTAATAGATATATAAGACACAATTATCTTCCTAGGTAGTTGAAAATGCTGTTCATAAAGCAGTAAAAGTCCCAAGAGAGACACTTATGAAAACAAAAGAAACAAATACAGAGATGGACATTCTTCTATTTGTTTGTACCTACAATCTAAATAACTGTACAATTATGCCCATTATAAAAGCAAATCTTCCAATTTTGTATAGAAGTGATACTATGAAAGAAGGTTTATCAGTCAGTGTAACAAAATGTCAAACACCACGATGTGGAACTTGTTCACTGAAGACTGCAAATTTACATTTTGTGAAGGCAAACTATTTACTATAAAAACCAACATGAACTGCCGCAGCAAAATGTTATATATGTTTTGTTTGTTTTTTCTGTTGGGCAAATCCATTAAGCAGACGCAGGTAACAGCATGAAGTTAATCTGTGCACCGGACCATAACATTTGTTGTTTTAAGCTATAGGGAGGACACCGCAATAGGTATCCTCGAGCTTGTTATGAAATGCTTAAAGTCTTTGACGAAAAGGGAAATGTTAACTGGGTTTCTCATGTTCGTTCACTATTGTTTTAATTTGGATGTTCTTTTGTGTGGATTACACAAAACTCTGGCGACGTAGATGTATTTATGACAACGTTTCAGAAACGCTGCAAGGATGTCTGTTTCCAAACCTGGAGCAGTGATATTGGTAGTAGTTCTTTTCTTAAAGTTTATTTTGGAAACAGAAGTTTATATAACTGCGTTGTACACTAATAGAGACTTGATGCGTATTTTATGTAAATTTCGTTGCTTACCGCACAAATTGGGTGTCCAACAGTTGCATTTCAATAAAGACAATGTCGATAATACTATAGCAATATGTATCAAGTGTCATGTAGATGTCGTAGAAAACGGATACCACTTTTTAGTATGTCCTTATTACCATACAAGTCGGATGAAGTTTGTGCCTGGGTATTATCATATACATCCATCTGTCTTTAAGTTTAAGCAGTTGTTATATGCACAAAAAATATGAATGTTATTAAAAGTCGAGCAATCTATCGGAAGAGAAATCTACCTGTTTGACTGCTATATATTGATGTAGTATATTTATGTATATGTATCGAATGCGCACAAGCAAAGAATTATGTATTTTCTGTACTCTGGGCCATGAGGCCATTATGCGAATAAACTCTCTCACTACTCACTGCGCAGATAAATTACAGTCGTTAATAATAACCTTCATTTATCGGACAATACCAATGATGTAATTGTGTGTTACGTCAATTGTGAAAAAGAAAAGTTATTATCTGCCCTAGTCATTACAGAGTTCCCTCCCTTTCCGGGTACTCGATTCCAAGAAATAGGACTCGATTCCAGCTGTACCCGACCCGGCTTCGAGTACCCGAGTACTCGTCCCAGCCCTAGTGGAAGGGGTCTTGATTATACTAGTCACATGACCACACAATACTAACTTCACATGCTGTGACCCAACATGTAACCCAGCATTGCTCTCACTACCTTCTTTTCAATGCTGGTTTGCATATGTTCTGATGCATCTAGACAAAATAACCTCGTGAAGTACTGAACCATCAGGACTAGATATACTATGCACAGTGTCTTTGGATCTAATTACTCTGGCAACTGGTTGCACTCTCGTCTGAAGACTCCAGTATTGTAATAAATGTGTCCAGGACGTCCGGCTTCACTGATCCAATTCTCTGCAGTAACACATTAGCATAGTCCTGTAGATTCCGACTCTCCTGATCCACCGTGTGCACCTCCAGCAGGAGCTGACGGGAAAGAAGACATAGAACTGGATCAAGTAAAGTCTAGCTGGAGCTGCAAGGAGGGACAGAGATTAGAACAAGAGGTCCAGTCTTCTCAGGTTGTAGCTGTAAGAGGAAGAAGACATAGACCTAGATCAAGTAAAGTCTGTCAGGATGAACAGGATGTCCAGTCTCCTCGAGCAGGAGGAAGCAGACGCTACACCAGAATATCCAGTTACCTCTCCCGGGAGCAGCAAGGGGAAACAGATTAGAGAAGGATGTGTTCTCCCCTTCTATCATGAGCTGTAGGGGAAGCAGACATTACACAAAAGAATATCCAGTCACTTTTCGTTGGAGCTGGAAGGGGAAACACAGATTAGAAGATGTCTTGTCCCCTCAAGCATGAGCTGTAAGGAGAGAAGTTAGAATAGCTCACCCATTCACATCTAGAAGTTGTTGGTTGATGCAGAAGTTAGGGTAGAATATCAAGTCACTTATGGAAGGACCTGTAGGAAGAAGCAAGTGTCACACTAGGATATCTGCATGATGCTGTTTGATCACTTTGGCCACATTGATACAAAGTGTCCTCTGTTGTGATATGGTTTGAATATTCTAAAAGCAGCACAAGATCTTTTTTATTCAGCATCATCAATCCTTTAAGGAAAAGCAGATTATCGTTAGCTTTAGAGTGAGTGAGTGAGTGAGTAGGTGACATGAGTGATGCACAATATGACAAATCATGTTATGATGGGATGATAAGACCAAACCTTCAGAGGTAGTAGTCATCAATTTCTCCTACCTGCTCAAACGACATTGTGTGAACATTAATCATGCATGGTCTTTTGTTCAACTGCACTCGGGGCAGTCCTTCCAGGAGGTGAGGGTCAAGGTCAAGGCACGTGGCCACCAGCTGGTCAATGAGAGTACGAATCCTCTTCTTCCTGTGTTCCAGCTTGCGAATAGCTCGTACAACCTGCAGGCACACAAGGTGAACACAAGCATCGGCGACAGAAAGGATGTTTTGGGAAGCTTTCCCAATGACCATAAAGAACTGGGTAATTTTTAAAGGTTTTCTGACATATTTGAGTGTTTTATTAAAACTTGGAAATCTGTCCCTCGGGAGAATGTGTACAGACTGTACAGTTAACCAGGATTACCTTTTCAGTTCAAAGTGGATTTCAGAATGTTTGACTTTGGATGTCAGAATGTTTGACTTTGTGCTTTGAACAAACATCTGACATCGGCATAACAGTTAATAGTGAATGTTATTTTGTTCAGAATCTCTCATGTAAATGTTACAGATGAATTCTTTCTACGAGGTGTGCTTGAAAGTTAATATTTTTCTTGATGTTTCTGTGTAGATTAATTGCATTGTTTTGGAGAGTAATATCATTGTGACCATTTCTCAAGCAAAGAAAGTGATGTTCACAGCGCTGCCATATCAATGTTGAGGTGGAATCTAATCCAAGCTTTGTATTGTGTAAGAAAAGATCGCCACTACATCATGTTTGTCAGTGGCATTGACTTTTGGCAGATTGTTTGAGGATTCTGTACAAGATCAGGTTCCCAGTACTTTGTGTTTGTCAACGTCCTTGACAGAAGGTTCCGTGATATGGTAAATAGTGTTTAATGGAATATTTATTGACTTTCAGCTTACACATATGACATACAATGACTTTCTTCTGAATCAAGGAGATGCCTTTTGCAGCATATCCAGTGAAGAATATATATACATTTGTCTTTGACTCTAGATCCTCCCTGGAAGATGAAATGAGTTTTCCCTAATTGTTTAAAGCTAGCAAACCAGAGGCTGATTGTGTACGGCCAAATCCTGGTATAACAGCACAGTTAGGGCCTGGTGATCAACAGCCATGAATTTATGTCCTTAGGGGTTGCGGGGTAGTCTAGTGGTTGAAGCATTCACTCGTCACACCATTGACCCAGGTTCGATTCCCCACAAGGGTACAATGTGTGAGGCTCATTTCTGGTGTCCACCGCCATGATATTGCTGGATTATTGCTATAAAAAGCGTAAAACCATACGTGTTCACCTGCTTATGTCCTTAATCTGTGATCCATCTACCATGGCTTTTCCCCACTATTATGCTGCCCAAACAATCCCCATTGTTACACATCATACATTGTGTATTGTCCTGTTCTCTCCAGTTGAGTATAAGCCAGTGTACTGTAGTATGTAGTCCTTTGTCCTTTGTTCAACCAGGTGAACCCATCTAACCACAGGAATCTGAACTCCTCACTACATACTGAAACTGAACTTTTGCCAACAAAACTTCCTCTCAGCATAGATGTACACCAGGGGTGCAATGTCATCACACATTGATCCCATATAACAAGTGTATATGAAACATTTGCAACCACAACTTATACACCGCAGGTTCAGTCTGACTTTGTGATTGCTATGTTACCCAATCTCTACCTCAAAATGTTTTGAGATGCCTATGCAGTTTTTGCCTTGTCCAAGAATCTGTTTTTATATTTAATGCCACACTCAGCAATATTCCAACTATATGACCGCGGTCTGTAAGTAAGCTAGTGACTGACATCATGAGCATCAATCTATGCCAAGAATCCATGACACAATGACGTCACAGACATATCTGCACTGATTACATATCTTTCAGATTCCTGTGATTAAACGAGCCAGCTGACCACCCACCTGTTGCTACCTTTTCATCAGAAAGTTCATCCGTTATTTTTCATGAAAAATTTGAAACAAGTTAATAAATACTTCCAGTTTGGATGAACTCAAAATTTCCTGCTGATATAAAATTTGCAGATCACACTTTTATACTGTTTCTGTATTGATTCCAAAATCCCATGGGCCCAGATCCACAAAGAATCTTAATGCTAAGACCACCATGACTCTGTAGCCTCACTAAACTGTGACTTAGGACAATCGCTAACATCACTTCGTGGACACCCAGGAAAACAAATATATGATGATTATGCTGCAGCCTGTAAAACTGATGATGAACTGAGGAAAAGATCGGCAACAGAAGGATAGTACAACACCCATCCCATGTCAAAATGTCAACAAAAAGAGATGGAACAAAACAAACAACAGGAAAAGCACAGTGGTATTTCAGTATTTTTATTGACGTAACAGTGCTCATTGCATGCATAAACAATACATCAAGAGCTGTACAAAATCAGTCATCAGTTGTCACATAGCTAGTACACTCAGTATAATGTATTGTACATGTAGGACTGCATGGCTGCTGGGGGAATCATTTCAGTAACATCGGCACTACTTAGTTAACCAATACCTCTAATGATATACTTGATTGATGCTCTCTGTACTTGTAAACAAGACCTCTCTCTCAGTAATGAGAAAAATCTCGGTTCAAATCTTGATTCCACATACAATGTTTGTAGGTAACTTTCATAAATAAATATGATCATCATTATGACAAAAGTGAAGTTTGTATCAATAAACTTTGTATATGAATCAAAAATGAATAATTTTTGCCTGCTCAGCAATATGAAAATGTGGGCTTGATACACATGAATACCTACAGAGTGCTGCCTACAAATTAGGATTAAAGAACCTCTTAGACAGACAGATGTTTCAACATTTAACACATGGTTGGTGAGACTGATGACCACGATAACTGAAGTATTCCATGAAATGATAACACCAGGCAGTCACTATCAGGATATCCTACAGTTCATCAGGATGTCCTGATATCGGGACATCCTACAAAGAAACCAGCAGTGTTCTGTTTTGATTCTAGTCTTGCTATAAATATCACATCAGCCTGTGTTCAATTTGTTACATGATACAACTGCATCATGACAGAGTGCTCTCCCCTTAGCGGGAATTAGCGCCGGACACTGTTTAGTATGACACAGATAACACATAATGTGTTGTTAATATAAGTAACTGCATATAATCACAACTGCTATTTTTGAATTAAGATTCATAAGGCAAAATGTTTCAAAGGCGACATTTTTTTTAAATTAGCAAACTGAACTGAGAACAGTGTGCGGAAAAATTACAGATTCCAGCAGCGAAAGTCTACAGTTTTGACATTTTGGAACATCACAGTCATTACAGGTTTTATTCTGTCACAATCTAACTGTTACATCAATGAGTTTTTTCATGTTAGGTCAGGTTATTAAATACATTCCGATATGTGGAGACTAGTCCCCAACAACAAACTGTCTAGTAACCATGGAAACACGATGAGACTCATATCAGCTGGGGTAACCATGGAAACATGGTAAGACTCATACAAACTGGAGTAACCATGGAAACATGGTAAGACTCATACCAACTGGAGTAACCATGGAAACATGGTAAAACTCATACAAGTTTGAGTAACCATGGAAACAGGATGGTTGACATAAAAAGTTGTAATAACCATGGCAACATGGTGATACACAAACCAAGCAGAAGTAACCATGGAAACATAGTGGTTCTCACACCTTGTCATAACCATGGAAACATGGTGATAAGTTGACGTAACCATGGCGATACTCAATCTGAGTTGTCTGAGCATTTGACATAAGGGGCTAGTACTTACTACAGTCAATCACACTAGTTGCTAGGGATATATATATATATCATCCACGATTGCACATATCAGTATACACACAGATCATCACAATAATTGCAATTTAACATTAAATATACCTTTGTATATACATATATCGAACTGGTAATTTATTGACTGGCAATGTAGAACAACAATTTACAAGTCAGGATCTCTTTACGTCAGACACGATGTACAACAGCTTTCTTCCAACCCTTACAGGGCCTCAAAAATCTTGATTATTAAACAACTGAAATTTGATGCAGAAGCCATTAGTATTACTGTAACAGCAGTAACACTCTTTGATTTTATACATATTTAGATATCAAATCTAAAAATACTTCCTTGCCACCTATCGCTAGTGATTACCACACTCCTAAGGATATCTGTCCTCACAGAAACTCAGTTACAATCACAAATGGTTAATGACCAGTCTAAAACAATGTCTATATACCATCTAAAAGGAACTAGGATGGGTTTCCTGGTTTAAGAACACTTAGCATCATCACAGATAGCTGTCCGAACATTTAGCCAAATTCTGCAGTTAAAGCTGATCGTATGGATTTGGCAATGTACACAGTAAGTAGGATTTTCTGTTTTGGGAGTGTAGGGCTGCGACGACACAACACTATAATAGGTTGCTTTATAGTATGTAGCATAATGGTATGCTCGCATTATGATAAATAACACATAATATGACGTCATGAAGTAGTACACCAGATTCGAGACCTTTGTCCATTTTCCTGGCAATTTCATGAAAACACCCTGAGAAAATGGTATTATCATTCAACTTTATACCACTGGAAGCATGTCCTTTAAAAAATACAGAGCTCCAGATAACCTGCTCATTTGTGTAAAATACGCAAAAATCACCTTTACCCCATATATTTTGTGTTGGACATATTGTATTACTAATTTAGCCTTTTTCAGCCGAAAATGCAGAAATGCTATGTAGCACGTATTGCAACCAACCAGTTATGGCAATTTTCTGCTGATCCGCGTATTTCCATCGATTTTATTTCAAATTGATCAATTCTGTGAATTGTCTGAATCCCCCATTCGATAAGACAACCTTATGCTTTCAGCTGAAAATAGATTTTCCTGAACCAACACATGTATCAGTGGTGGGTAGTGGTTGAACATAACAGAAGAAAATTAGAAGTTACCTGAATCAATAATTTTAGCAGAATTACATCATATCAACACCCAATAGACTGAATCAAAATATAATGAATATCCCAAAAATACCCATTGTGATTGATAACTCGTAATTACATTTCGTAAAACAATTATCTGGAGCCCTGTAGATATTGTGTGTATTACTAGAAGACATCATGCTACGATACCTGTGTCATATCCACAACTAGTTACAGCCCTAGTTCTGTAAGCCTGATCCGAGAAGTAATCTCACCACTAACACAAACCCAACTCATTCATAATACTCTAAAACATTAAGGACCATCCAATTCTTTCATACGACAATAATTAATCTGTCTGTAGTATAGGTAAGGTTGGCATGGCTCACATCCCGAAGTGTATCGGAGTATGGCTCACATCTAGTACAGTCAAGCAAGTTGACTCTAGGCATTCAAAATTTCAGAGCAAACGTTCATCTGTAAATACCATTAGATATCAAGCAGTTCATCATTACTCTTGTAACACAGAGAAAGAATTAGTTGTAACAATTACAAGGCAGTTGGAGGCCATGCAGCAACAGAGCTGCCATAATGTGGACAAGACAGAAGATTTCAGTTCAAATAAACTTGATCACAGCTGTCCAAACCGGACTTAGGTCATCTGTTCTTTCAACAAGTTAGTGTATTGGGTTAGAGTTTAGCGTCAAGTTGAAAGGCAATGTATATTTTCGGAGTGCTAAGATTAATTTTCGGAAACGGCTTATTGATGGCATAGGAAGTCAGCTGAAGCTGCATGCCACGCAGCCCCAAACTTTCTACACATGCTCAAGACTTGTACACATAGTGAGCAAAGAACGATATAACTAAAATGTTGGAGATCACCACACAGCACGCACTGGCTAAGCAGCCTACAGCAGACATGGACAAAATTCAGCACCATTGATAATCAACACAATAACAAAATACAACATGAGAACAGAAGCTAAAACAGCCATGCTAAATGGAACAGTAAATGCAGCACATCTGTAAGCTAGGGCTTAAAGCATTATGAATAACTGGATAATGAATCACGTAAGTGCTTCTATTTGAATACAGCAATGGCGGAAAGACAAGATGCTTGAGAATATATATGCACAAGGCCCTACTAGCAGATAACACTTGCTATCTGGAATGAAAACTTTTGATGTATATATATGTATAGTTGCTAATCTTTGATTTTATAGCAATATAAGTTTTGCATTATATTAATGCCAGTCATATATGCCATTTGAAAATCTACAGAACTATAGAACATAAAATGTCCCGACTTTATCAGCTGAATGTTATTCAGGTGGGAAGAGTTGTCTACCCTGTCCTCCAGAACACATGTAATCACTATGACAGACAAGCTGGCGTCGGTACTGTTGCCATGGTGATAGGTGGGCAGTGGATGCTGGAAGGATTCATTACTTATTCCTTGTTTCACTCAACACTGATCGACATATGCATGAAGGTCTAAAGACTTGCCAACCCTAATATCCAGTTTTTAATTCAAACATACCACTCAATAACACTTTATATATTCATAAAACTGTTGTTTATCTATCAAGGCAGGAAACATTAACTATTGTATTTGGACAGAAATAGGTGGTCCTAATATTTTTAGTACTATACAAAAGTTGCAATCCTTAAGGACCTGTTTTTCCTAATTGTTTTTATTCATTTCAGTTGAGAAAGTGTACAGTTGATTACATTTATCTTTGTTTTTAGACCTCAGAAACTTATTTCTGTCAATGTCTCTGCAGTTCATATTCTGGATCGGTGGGCAGAGAAAAGTACAAGTCTTATACTTTTGGGACTCATCAGTCAAGACAATCAAAATTTATTTCCACCTTTAAGCCTCTTTGCCTGATGAACATGTGATATGGGTAGTCAAAAAGTAATTAGTTATTACTCCAAAATATATTTTAAATATATTTTAATGGATATTTTAAAATAGGTCGGAGTCAAGACATTGTCTTCATTTTCCACTCGTATTATTAATACTAACGTCATTCAATAGAAAACATGGAATAAATAGCGATCCCTTCCAGCAAGCCATGGCATAACGACCATGGGACTATACAGGGTGAATCATGTAACTAAGTTGAAATGTAGGCAGTGTTTAAATGCAGAAGCCAAACAAAATGTAGTTATGATTCTTTCCAGGACCGATAAATGAAAATGGTGAAGGCAATGAAATCAGATCCCTGTGACAAAATCTTGAGACGTGTGTAAACACAATGCAGGAATTCCTCAATGGTAGATATACAACCTGGGCCCAGCCCACATGTTTCACCTAAAACAATTATGTATACATGAACTGTCAACAATATGACGCTGATTATGCATGTAGCTCGTATTATCATACAATAATAAAATCACTTTCTGCCAGACATGCTAGAGAGGAATAAGATTTATAAAAGAAAGGCTTCGTCTAAGTCAGATCAGCAGCCAGAGACAACAAGCTGCATTTCCTTTGTACATGATATCACAATATTTAAAAATGCCCTTGAATTAATGTTGTTGAATTAAGTAAAGCAATTTATGGTCTTTATCTGTAAATTCTACTGGTTGTTTCTACAGATGTCAGACAGATGATACCAGCAGACTCCACAATATTTGCTAGCTGGTTAAGCCATCAACTAAATCTTTTCAGAGATCATCTTCTCATTCACACATATTACAGTTTGATGTGGAGTTATTCGAGGTGAGTAATGGCTATCATGGAGTCGGTGTGTGCATGGAACGGATGTAATGCTATGCAGATCTGTAGACCCCAGAGGGAACGTGGAGAGTAATGACAGTTGTCAGGTAAGTAGTATGCCAAGTATCTCTAGGGATCCATGAGGGAGGCATCGGGGGCCGTGAGAACATAGGGGTCTACCTGTTCCGGCGTGGCTGACCGTAATCTCTGGGCAGCAGATTTCTTTGATTTCTTCTTCTCCTCTCTACTATGGTGTTCTTTGTGGATCAACCGCATGCGATTCTGGGTCTGTAATACAGATATGTTTGGTTGAAGGATTTGGAAAGATAACATGCAAACTGTAAAGAGTAATCACGATCATGTTATTATTTATCATACAATGGATAGCATTCTCGGCAGGATAAAAGCCAATGGATATTTTCGATATCCGTTGGGGTCAAATACTTATATCGATGCAAATTAGAGAGATCATTTGCAAATTTTAGGGACCACTTTTACAATGTAAACAAACATGGCATCATGCCCGTCTATCAGCGATCGTGTCCGGATTGACGGCCATGGTTACGGTACTGTCAGTGCTTTGATCCAAGAAAATTCCTGTCTGGTAATGATAGATGGAGTGGAGTACAAAGCGAAGATAGAAATTCATAGGCCTACAAGATACCAACACAAGTTCCCCAACCGACTGTCAGTGTTTGCGAGCAGAACATGTCATGCAAACATTATAGCGCATTTGTTGTTCAAATGGTTAATTGAAGGTTTCTGACGTTCCACACAAGTTTGTTGTTAATTTTCAAACGTAAGCTGAGATTTGTTGACAACAATACATGCTTTAACTCCTATTTTTTCAATATGATAAAGTAAGAATGACATTGTATGATAAATAGGTTGTCACGCGAGTGTGTTTTGGGATGGTTACTATCCTGCACTAGGAATAAAATTGTATTTAGCTGAACATGGAATTATAAACATGAAACTCAGGTAACCTAGGAGGAACAACATTTTAAAAGTTCTTACATCTATCTGATGTCAACAAGCAAATAAAAAACAGCTTCATAACGGTCCAAAATTATTTTCAAATATGTGTGTGCTCATACAACAAGCATGGCTGCATAAAATTGGCACAATAAACATTAAGTAGTGCTTCACAACAGTATAATACTTCCCCTTGGTTACATCAGTGTATTATTGTATAGATACATCTTAAACTTTCCTAACTGATCATTACATATGATTAGAATTACATATGATAAAAATGATAATTGTTTGTTTCAGATGTTTTGTTTGTTGTGTAACACAACACTCAGTCTGTAAAGTGAGTGACGAGTGAACACTTAACCACTAGTCTACCCCAACATCTAACTGCAGAGAGACAGAAGAACAAGGGCTCCACCTACCAACTCCTTCAGCTGCTGTGCTAACTTCTCCTTTTCTTTGGTCAGTCGTTCCATCTCCTCCGTGTTCTTCTGTTTCTTGGTGCTGGTCATCTCCAACAGAGCGATATTCGCATCCTTCTCACATATTGCTGCCTGGATTGCCTCTTGTCTGAAACAACACAATCATGTTTACAAACAGTCATACCATGCAAGAGTGATGGCTTCAGTGTGAGTGAGTGAGTTTAGTTTTACGCTGCTTTTAGCAATATTCCAGCAATATCACAGAGGGGAACACCAGAAATAGGCTTCACACATTGTACCTATGTGGGGCATTGAACCCGGATCTTTCGCATGACGAGTGAACGCTTTACCCACTAGGCTACCCCACCACCCCTGGATGGCTGCAGCCATGCTGGTCTATGATGCTTAACGCTATACACGGCCAAACTGCAGTGCCTCACATCACTAGGATGTCAATAATGTTGCATCATGGACATTATGTTGCAGGAACTGACCAGTCAGCTGTCACTAGATACAAAGTGCACATTGATGACTTTAAAAGTCTTCAAGAGGACATTTTGATCATGCTGATGTCTTTATGAGTGAGTGAGTTGGCTCTGACACCGCTTTTAGCAATATTCCAGCAGTATCAGGCGGGGGACACCAGAAATGGGCTTCACACATTATACCCATGTGGGGAATTGAACCTGGGCCTTCGGCGTGATGAGTGAACGCGTAAACCACTAGGCTACCCTACCGCCCCCATCTTTATGAGCACCTACATCAAATTTCACAGGATCTTCAGATGAAGAGGAGTGAGTTGAGTTTTACACCACACTCAGCAATATTCCAGCTATATGGCGGCGGTCTGTAAATAATCGAGTCTGGACCAGACAATCCAGTGATCAACAGCATGAGCAACGATCTGCGCATTTGGGAACCGATGACATGTGTCGACCAAGTCATCGAGCCTGACCACCTGATCCCGTTAGTCGCCTCTTACGACAAGCATGGGTTACTGAAGGCCAATATTCTAACCCGGACCCTCACTGGTCAGATAAAGAGTAATGTGTTTCCCATCAATCATGTGTATCTCCCCAGCAATGTGTACAACCACATGTATTGAATCTATCATGTGTACTGAGTGAGTGAGTTTAGCTTTACGCCACACACAGCCATATTCCAGCTAAAAGGCGCCTGTCTGTAAATAATCGAGTCTGCACCAGCAATCCATTGATCAATATCATGAGCATCGAGCTGGGATACAATGACATGTGTCAACCAAATCAGCGAGCCTGACCAGCCAATCCTAATAGTCACCTCTTACGAAAAACATGGGTTACTGAAGATCAATTGTAACCCGGATCTTCACAGGTTTATCATGTGCACTGCATGAACCTTGAATACTCACTTCATCTCAAACACTTCCTCCAGGTGTTTGTGTCGCTCAGACTGCAGACGTCGGAGACGAGCCTCCTTCTCATCCAGCTGCTTGGTCATCCCGGACACTTTGGCCGTCAAGTCCGCCTTTGTGTGCTGCAGAGACGCCTGGTCAGTCTTCAGGATGTCAATCTGAAATAACACGGGTCTTCCTGCTCAATCACAGACATAGGTGTACAAAACAGACACATTGGTGACTAGCTCATATCTCGAATAACGGTTCATGCTCATACTGCTTACTTGGTTCTGTCTAAATTGGTATAGCCAGTGTATGAAATAAGCCTAAACTTCAAAATGTTACCAGCCCAAATGGAATTTAACCAGACCAGACACCAAGGTATTTGGTGAATTTACTCAGATGTATGGGAGATCTAAACAATTTTACCAGACCATCGGGCTGGCTTGCTGATAATTTTGACCGTCTGTCATAAATCTAGCCCGTCTCGGGCAGTCGGACGGGCCTTATTTCATACACTGGCATAGTAAAATAAAATTGTCAACTGCCACAGAATTATTCACGTCTATTTCTCCCATATATCATATACAGAGCAGCCATTTATATACATATTGCAGATGACAATTAAGTTCATCAGACTTAAGGATATATACAGTTGACTAAACACAATGTACAACATCAGTATATTTTTAGATACAAATTTATGTGAAATAAAAGGTACTTTTTTTATGGATTTTATGACTGAAGATTTTGCTCATAACTCTCATTGAAAGGAGAACAAGTAACGTTGTAGGTTAGGGAATAGGCTGAGGGGTGGCAAAAGAAATATACAGTATGACATATCTCATTATGAACAGTGAGTTGTCTCCCTTGTCATGATCATGACAGTTTAAGTCAGGACATTTACAAATAAAGTAAAAAGTGAGTGAATTTGGTTTAATGCTTCTTTGATAGACAGATGCTAAATATATGTCAGCAAAACAAGAAGTGAGGCAGCTATTTTGGATACGTGGGCCTCAGGGGATATTGCTACAGATGAGTGAGTCGGTCGGTGAGTTTGGTTTTTCACCAGCATTCCCGTAACAATGAGGGCATGTCAGCTTCATGTGGGAACAAAGCCAGAAGTGATGAAGACCTAAGCCATTTAGAACTTGGATGAAACCCATGATCACAGGTATGGCCCTGGAAAACCTAGGTATTCAGAATGAACCTATGATCATGGGACGTAACATTGTAGTGCCAAAGACCATGGGGAATCCTTTCATCCTGAACTGTTTGAAAGGCATTCTAATTTCTAGAAGTTGCAAGTAATAGGCATGACAAGTGTTTATGGATGATCAACTTCTTTAATGTACAATGGCGACGTTTTGGTATAGATGCTTATACAGTTTTCAAGCATGAGGAAAATGGAATAAGTATCTATACAGAAATATCGCAAATGAAAGACTTGTCATTCCTACCCTTCTTTCATAATTAAATGAATAAGTTGAACTTGTACGATGTAAGGCTGACTTTCACATTATATACACAGAGTGTACTGACAGTGAAGTGATAGTGTACAAAAAGGGTGTACTGACAGTGAAGGAACAGTGTACCAATAGGGTGTACTGACAGTGAAGTGATAGTGTACCAACAGGGTGTACTGACAGTGAAGTAACAGGGTACCAACAGGGTGTACTGACAGTGGAGTGATAGTGTACCAACAGGGTGTACTGACAGTGAAGGAACAGTGTACCAATAGGGTGTACTGACAGTGGAGTGATAGTGTACCAACAGGGTGTACTGACAGTGAAGGAAAAGTGTACCAATAGGGTGTACTGACAGTGGAGTGATAGTGTACCAACAGGGTGTACTGACAGTGAAGGAACAGGGTACCAACAGGGTGTACTGACAGTGAAGTGATAGTGTACCAACAGGGTGTACTGACAGTGAAGTAACAGTGTACCAATAGGGTATACTGACAGTGAAGTGATAGTGTACCAACAGGGTGTACTGACAGTGAAGTTATAGTGTACCAACAGGGTGTACTGACAGTGAAGTAACAGGGTACCAACAGGGTGTACTGACAGTGAAATCATAGTGTACCAACAGGGTGTACTGACAGTGAAATCATAGTGTACCAACAGGGTGTACTGACAGTGAAGTAACAGGGTACCAACAGGGTGTACTGACAGTGAAATCATAGTGTACCAACAGGATGTACTGACAGTGAAATCATAGTGTACCAACAGGGTGTACTGACAGTGAAGGAACAGGGTGTACTGACCTCATTCTTGTACTCCTCCACCAGGTTGTTCTGTTCTGCCATGTCCATCTCCCGCTGTGCGGTGATCCTGACACTCTCCCTCAACGCCTCCTCCAGCTCCTCGATACGCTCGCCCTTCGCCCTCATGTCCGTCTACAACACGGGGAGATCCATCAGACTCTTTCTACTGCCAAACTCTTCTCTTGACTTACTCCCATCAATATTAGGTGATTATTTATATCTATATACAATCCGTTTCAAATGGCATAGTCTTCTTCTGTCACAATTGTTTCCTGACAGTCTTAAAATGTGAACTTCAGTATAAAACTTCCGCCATACGTTCCTGGACTACTATAACAATGAGACGGTACTTCCTCAACCTTTTTACAGTTTTTCATCTGTGTTAAGGCATATTGCCTGACACTGAGAGGAAAAACAAGACTGTTCATGGAAAACACTGGCACAGGTTCTGATCATGAGTTGACAGGTCATTTACCAAACAAATCTGAGATTGAAACCCATATACATCCCATTTAGGTAGGAACTGAAGGGACATAACCCCTGATCAGGGTTTTACACAATGCAGAAATGGATATATGTAACAATATACAACAGACACAGAAAAACACTGCATTACATCCGGAGGAATGCACAACATTCCTTCCAGCAAATTCCTGATGTGAAACATTACGTAATTAAGAAATCTTACATTATGGCAGTACATGGCACCATTTGATAACTTAAAAGTTTCTAATACTTCCTGCCGTGACCCTTGAAATCTATTACCCCTAATTTTGTAAATCAAGGTAAAATCCTGTCAACAAACCTTTCATTAGAAAGATGATAAACCATCTGGCTTAAAAGAGCTGACTTTGTCCTACCCCTTTTACAAGACTTTTGCATCATGCTATTTCTCAATTGTTTCAGTCAGGAAATCAGTTTTAGTACATTTGCTCATTCCAGCTGTTTTCATCTGTATGCTACCTGAAGCTGTGTTGCATCCTCGGTCATGTTCTTCTCACTCTTCCGGGCCACCTCCAGGAGCTCTGCGTTCTTCTTCTTCTCCCTCTGCTGGTTCCTCTTCAGCGTCCCCATCTTCTCCTTGTATTCCTTGATGATCCTGGAAGCAAGAGCACAACCAACTTAACACAGGGGGCATGGAATTAATATCACAAAATTAATCTTAATTGTAACTTATTTCATGCTCAGTTTTGTCACGTAAATTGTTAAATAACTGTGCTTTGTTTGTGATCAGTATGATATAACTGACAGAAACATACACCTGTTACATTATAATATCGAATTTAACAGGAGTTTAACAAAGGCAGACCCCTTGCTGATATTTCTGTTATTTTACTATGGTTTAAAACACCTCAGTAAAAACAGTACATCCAAGTCGCGACCAATAACTTCTGATTACCAAGACTTGGGATCACAGAGAGCAGTGATTGAAGTCAAGAGCTCCTTGCTATAACCCTCATATTAGATTAGGTTCTTAGATTCCAATACCATAGACGATCTAAGAGATTCCTCTTATTTTCAAACACTGCCGAAGGAATTTGTGATTGAAAAGAAAACATTTTGTCTGTTGATATACATATTGCAGCCAAAAATTAAGCTTAAGTAAAGACCTTGACAAAAAGATATATCAGCTGTATGACTCACTCCTGCATCTCCTTCATCTGGTTGTCCTTCTCGTTCTTCTCGTTCTCTCCATCCTTTATCACCTCCAGCAGTCTGTCCACCTCGGCCTGGGCCCGCTTCAGGTCGTCCTGTGTGTGGGTCAGCTTCACTGTCTGGTCAGACATCCGGCGCTCCAGGGTTCCTCCAAGCTTCGGTGAGTCGATGCCATTCTCACGACTTGTCTGAAACAGTTTACAGATAAACTTTAAGCATGTTGTTATTTTTAATTCCAAAACAGGATGGTGGGGTAGTCGAGTGGATAACTGGTCACAGTGAAGACCCGGGTTCAATTCCCAACATGGGTACAATGTGTGAAGCTTATTTCTCATGTTCCCAGCCATGATATTGCTGGAACAAAGTCTTTGGCTCAGTATTATTCGTTACACTGCTATACTGAGTCTAACAAACCCTAGTAGAAGGTCGCGTCAGGTAACCTTTTGGATTGACCAATCAGAACACAGCTTACCAAATCGCACATACTGTTTGAACCTTTACCACAAAAACTCGAACGATTCCAAATGCTATTTTCCGCATGATCACTTCCGAGTGATACACATGGAGGGCGCAATGAGTAAACCGTCGCTGAACATAGCGTTTTAGTCAATATTCAAGGATGTCATCTTGCGGAAATGTAAGCTAATAGTAACCATGTCATTAGAAACACCTAAGCGTATATACTGCACGTCAAATATCTGTGTATTATGCGGAGTTTCGTTTGTTGATAGATCAGTGTCAGCGACCAGGGAAGAGAAAATCCCAAAACCATTTTGTAAGTACCGCCGAACCCTAACAAGTAGTCGTCTGATTGGTTAAATCCGTTCTGCCGTCTTGCGATTTAATTGGACGGTCATAGGTCAGTCAAAGGTTAGCTGACACGACCTTCTACTAGGGTTTGTTAGACTCAGTATAGCAGTGAAACAAATAATACTGAGCCTAAGTTTACTTAGACTGTGCTGGAACACTGCTAAAAGTGGCGTAAAACTGAACTCACTCAACTGACAATCATCAACCATGTCAGCAAATCTGACCACCCAATCCCGTTAGTCACCTCTTACGATAAGCACGGGTTGCTAAAGACCAATTCTAACTGGGAATTTCATGGGTCGCTATTTGGTTCTAATCACTTAGTCAAATCACATTTCCAGCATCACTACATTATTTGGTTGCATGCAATATTCCATTCTCAATCTCACAAAGATTTAACAGACAAATATATTATGAGTGCTTCATTTAGTTTTGGAACTGGTATTTTTTCCCTATTAATTTGTACTGCTTGTCATTCTATTCTGTTTCAATACAAGATCTGACTTCATTGAAAAATGTTAAGAAACAGAAGAAGTCACTACGAAGGATTTTTAAAATAATCAAGGATCAAATTTGACTAAAGGTACACAAAGAACCAGTGAGCCTTAGATAATGACAGTACAGTAAAGGTACACCTAGAACCAGTGAGTCTTAGATAATGACAGTACAGTAAAGGTACACCTAGAACCAGTGAGTCTTAGATAATGACAGTACAGTAAAGGTACACCTAGACCAAGTGAGTCTTAGATTATGACAGTACAATAAAGGTACACCTAGAACCAGTGAGTCTTAGATAATGACAGTACAGTAAAGGTACACCTAGACCAAGTGAGTCTTAGATTATGACAGTACAGTAAAGGTACACCTAGACCCAGTGAGTCTTAGATAATGACAGTACAGTAAAGGTACACCTAGAACCAGTGAGTCTTAGATAATGACAGTACAGTAAAGGTACACCTAGAACCAGTGAGTCTTAGATAATGACAGTACAGTAAAGGTACACCTAGACCCAGTGAGTCTTTGATAATGACAGTACAGTAATGAAGTACAGTAAAGGTACACCTAGAACCAGTGAGTCTTAGATAATGACAGTACAGTAAAGGTACACCTAGACCCAGTGAGTCTTAGATAATGACAGTACAGTAAAGGTACACCTAGAACCAGTGAGTCTTAGATAATGACAGTACAGTAAAGGTACACCTAGACCCAGTGAGTCTTAGATAATGACAGTACAGTAAAGGTACACCTAGACCCAGTGAGTCTTAGATAATGACAGTACAGTAAAGGTACACCTAGAACCAGTAGATAATGACAGTACAGTAAAGAGTCTGAGATAATGACAGTACAGTAAAGGTACACCTAGAACCAGTGAGTCTTAGATAATGACAGTACAGTAAAGGTACACCTAGAACCAGTGAGTCTTAGATAATGACAGTACAGTAAAGGTACACCTAGAACCAGTGAGTCTTAGATAATGACAGTACAGTAAAGGTACACCTAGACCCAGTGAGTCTTAGATAATGACAGTACAGTAAAGGTACACCTAGAACCAGTGAGTCTTAGATAATGACAGTACAGTAAAGGTACACCTAGACCCAGTGAGTCTTAGATAATGACAGTACAGTAAAGGTACACCTAGAACCAGTGAATCTGAGATAATGACAGTACAGTAAAGGTACACCTAGAACAAGTGAGTCTTAGATAATGACAGTACAGTAAAGAACGGTTCAAAGTCCATTGCTGCTGGAGGGACAAAGGAAATAACAGCTATAACCTCATGCTATTTATGTCACGGTCAGCTAAAGAAACCAAGGTTTAAGTGAAGACAGAAATGACTTCTTCCATGCAATGCTGCAGTGTAGATTCTAGTGTGAGTCAGCTTAAATACTTTTATCAATTGACAAATCACTACTACACTATCAACCAATTGCTAGTTAGATGGAGGTTGTAGTGTTAGTACTGAAACATCTCACAAAATGAATCTGGAGTTGAAATCAAGAAGTCCACTCCAAGGTTTCAGGTCCGTTCATGTTCTGAAATACTGACTGAATCTCATCTAAATGTCTGAGAGATATTTTTAACTTAAAATTTTGGCCATAGCACTGAAACTCTTCAATCCAAATTAGCTAAAAATGTCCTTTTGTGTCTCTATCTATCTCACTGCTACTCTCCGTGAAACAACAGCCTTGTCAAGGTAAGGTTCAAGTGTTTGTTGGTAGCCCTCCTCACCTTCATGAGCTCTACCTCCGAGCGGAGATTCTCCAGATCAGACTTCTTCTGTTCCAGCTGAGACTCGAGTTGCCGCATCTTGGAGTCCAGCTTAAAGCGCTCGGACCTCAACTCTGCTGCCTCGGCTCTCAGCTCAACCAGCTCCGTCTGAGACAGGAAGTGGGGTAATGAATGTTTGGTAGGACAATATCTTTCAACACATAATCAGAATTAATCCTGATCTCTTGACTAACCTAAGGACAATATTTTGTTTGTTTGCTGTTTAACACCAAATATTGTGCTGTCAGCAATATTCCAGCTGTATGGTACAGTCTAAATAATCAAGTCTGGACCAGACAATCCAGTGATTAATATTGATATATAATGATCCAAGTCATTGGTGTCATCAGGTATAACCCCTCAACCCACTGGTTGCCTGAAACAAACAACGTTGGCTCATGGGGACGTTTCCCCACCCAGACTACCCATAGGCTACCCACTGGTCGCCTGAAACAAACAACGTTGGCTCATGGGGACGTTTCCCCACCCAGACTACCCATAGGCTACCCACTGGTCGCCTGAAACAAACAACGTTGGCTCATGGGGACGTTTCCCCACCCAGACTACCCATAGGCTACCCACTGGTCGCCTGAAACAAACAACGTTGGCTCATGGGGACGTTTCCCCACCCAGACTACCCATAGGCTACCTACTGGTCGCCTGAAACAAACAACGTTGGCTCATGGGGACGTTTCCCCACCCAGACTACCCATAGGCTACCCACTGGTCGCCTGAAACAAACAACGTTGGCTCATGGGGACGTTTCCCCACCCAGACTACCCATAGGCTTCCTCATATAAGAACAGATCAGAACAAAACTTTAAAGGGAAGGATTCTGTAAATGGGGAAACAAATGCCCAAGGCTTGTTGTCTGCACCTCTACAACATTTTATAGAACATTCTGCATTCTATAATGATCATTTCTCTCCTGCAGCGAGCTTATGTTACATGTTAGCGGATCATAAAGGAATTTCAATCAGAAAGTTCAATACTTGCAGTCATGCCTGAAATAGAACAACTTAATGCGAGGCAGAAACAAGTCAAGCAGTATTGATTCAGACAACATTCGGATTGCTAGAGAGAGAGAGAGAGAATGTGTGTGGGCATATGATATGTGTGTATGTTTCTTGGACCAACTGACCTGTTTGTCGTTCAGCTGTTGTTCCAGCTGATCTATCTTTAATTTCATTTCTTGTGTGTCTTTGAGGTAAGTGCTCACTTCATCTTGGTGCTCCCTGTCAACTCTTTCTCTCGCTGCTCCCTTAGCCTGCAACATGTGAAGGAAACTATCATATGGTTGCAAACAGTTGCAATCACCATGATTAAACTCCAAATCTGGGGCTCCTTTCACGAGGCAACCTTTACTAAGGTTAACCTTAATTCCCATTCTTTAACATTGCCTTAAGGTTACCTTAGTGACTTACGATCACCTTAGTGCTTTGTGAAAGGAGGCCCAGGTCTTCAGCAAGCTCAGTCTCCATATGGTATACTTCCTGCTATGACCCTGTAACTCTTCTACTGATTACATCAATCAAACCTCTCCACGGCACAAATTAAAGTGAACATAGCTTACATAAAGCACGAAAAAGGTGACAAGAAGTTACAAAGTCAAGCATTAAAGGAGGGGTCAGCCATTTATCATTGTGTGCTGTAGGTGCGATTACCTGAGTGACAGTTGTTTCTTTAGATGTGTTTACTCTACACAGCATTACAACATTACCTCTCTATCTGCTTCTCTCTTTCATTGAGAGACTCCTCTAGACTAGATATGGCACTATCACTGGAGTCTGTGAATGTCGCAGACAGTCGCATCTTCGCTTGACTAAGCTGGTCATCCTTCTCTTTCACCAACTCTTCCAAACTCTCAGTCTGAAAAAGTTTGAGATGTTTACATTTTTACCTTGTGAAGAATGTATGAGACAAGTTGCCTGTACCTCGAGTATGTTGTCAATAATTGTCAATACATGTACTAAGGAAGGGGTGCTTACAATGTGCGATGTCAGACTGGTGTCATTGAGCTGTCTGTGTGTCATTTTATTGTGTCTCTGTGCCATTGTGTTGTGTCTGTGTCATTGTATTCTGTTTGTGTCATTGTGTTGTAGCTGTGTGTCATTTTTATTGTGTTTGTGTCATTGTGTTGTGTTTGTGTCATTGTGTTGTAGCTGTGTGTCATTGTGTTGTGACTGTGCCATTGTCACGTGTCTGTGTCATTGTATTGTGGTTGTGTGTCATTGTATTGTGTTTGTGTAATTGTATTATGTGCGTGTCATTGTGTTATGGCTGTGTGTCATTGTATTGTGTCTGTGTCATGGCTGTGTGTCATTGTATAGTGTTTGTGTCATTGTGTTGTGTTTGTGTCCTATTGTGTTTCTGTCATTATATTGTGTTCGTGTCATTGCATTGTGTTTGTGTCATTGCATTGTGTCCTTGCATTGTGTTTGTGTTATTGATGTGTGTCATTGTACTGTGTTTGTGTCATTGTATTGTGTCTATGTGTCATTGTATTGTGTCTATGTGTCATTGTATTGTGTCATGGCTGTGAGTCATTGTGTTATGGCTGTGTCATTGTGTTTGTGTCATTGTATTGTGTCTGTGTCATTGTATTGTGTCATATAGTTGTGTGTAATTGTGTTGTAGCTGTGTGTAATTGTAGTGTTTGTGTCATGTCTGTGAGTCATTGTATTGTGGTCGTGTGTCATTGTGTTTGTGTCGTGTTATGGTTGTGTATCATTGTGTTTGTCTCATTGTATTGTGTCCGAGTGTCATTGTGTTGTGTTTGTGTGTCATTGTTGTGTCATTGTATTGTGGTTGTGAATTTTAAATCTATGATCCAGGGTCCGGGCATTAGCTACAACGCACTTCAGTTCACTTTTGGCCCACACTGAAGTGTTGAGTCAGATCATGGCCAGAATTAACAGGTGAGTCAGATTGTGTCCTAGACTGACGTGTTGAGGAAGATTGTGTCCTAGACTGTAGTGTTGAGGAAGAACGTGTCCTAGACTGAAGTGTTGAGGAAGATTGTGTCCTAGACTGTAGTGTTGAGGAAGATTGTGTCCTAGACTGCAGTGTTGAGGAAGATGGTTTCCCAGACTGTAGTGTTGAGGAAGATTGTGTCCCAGACTGAAGTGTTGAGGAAGATTGTGTCCCAGACTGAAGTGTTGAGGAAGATTGTGTCCTAGACTGAAGTGTTGAGGAAGATCGTGTCCCAGACTGAAGTGTTGAAGACGATGGTTACCCAGACTGTAGTGTTGAGGAAGATTGTGTCCTAGACTGTAGTGTTGAGGAAGATTGTGTCCCAGACTGTAGTGTTGAGGAAGATTGTGTCCTAGACTGTAGTGTTCAGGAAGATTGTGTCCTAGACTGAAGTGTTGAGGAAGATCGTGTCCTAGGCTGAAGTGTTTTAGACGATGGCTACCCAGACTGTAGTGTTGAGGAAGATTGTGTCCTAGAGTGAAGTGTTGAGGAAGTGTTGAGGAAGATTGTGTCCTAGACTGAAGTGTTGAAGTGGAGGAAGATTGTGTCCTAGACTGAAGTGTTGAGGAAGATTGTGTCCTAGACTGGAGGAAGTGTTGAGGAAGATTGTGTCCCAGACTGAAGTGTTGAGGAAGTGTTGTGAGAGAAGTGTTGTGTCCCAGACTGAGTGTTGAGGAAGTGTGTCCCAGAGACTGTAGTGTTGAGGAAGATTGTGTCCTAGACTGAAGTGTTGAGGAAGATTGTGTCCTAGACTGAAGTGTTGAGGAAGATTGTGTCCCAGACTGTAGTGTTGAGGAAGATTGTGTCCCAGACTGAAGTGTTGAGGAAGATTGTGTCCTAGACTGTAGTGTTGAGGAAGATTGTGTCCTAGACTGAAGTGTTGAGGAAGATTGTGTCCTAGACTGAAGTGTTGAGGAAGATTGTGTCCCAGACTGAAGTGTTGAGGAAGATTGTGTCCCAGACTGTAGTGTTGAGGAAGATTGTGTCCTAGACTGTAGTGTTGAGGAAGATTGTGTCCCAGACTGAAGTGTTGAGGAAGATTGTGTCCTAGACTGAAGTGTTGAGGAAGATTGTGTCCTAGACTGAAGTGTTGAGGAAGATTGTGTCCCAGACTGAAGTGTTGAGGAAGATTGTGTCCTAGACTGTAGTGTTGAGGAAGATTGTGTCCTAGACTGAAGTGTTGAGGAAGATTGTGTCCCAGACTGAAGAAGTGTTGAGGAAGATTGTGTCCAAGACTGAAGTGTTGAGGAAGAAGACTGTAGTGTCCTAGGCTGAAGTGTTGAGGAAGATTGTGTCCTAGACTGAAGTGTTGAGGAAGATTGTGTCCTAGACTGTAGTGTTGAGGAAGATTGTGTCCCAGACTGTAGTGTTGAGGAAGATTGTGTCCTAGACTGAAGTGTTGAGGAAGATTGTGTCCTAGACTGAAGTGTTGAGGAAGATTGTGTCCCAGACTGTAGTGTTGAGGAAGATTGTGTCCTAGACTGTAGTGTTGAGGAAGATTGTGTCCTAGACTGTAGTGTTGAGGAAGATTGTGTCCCAGACTGTAGTGTTGAGGAAGATTGTGTCCTAGACTGAAGTGTTGAGGAAGATTGTGTCCCAGACTGAAGTGTTGAGGAAGATTGTGTCCTAGACTGACGTCTTGAGGAAGATTGTGTCCTAGACTGAACTGTTGAGGAAGATTGTGTCCTAGACTGAAGTGTTGAGGAAGATTGTGTCCCAGACTGAAGTGTTGAGGAAGATTGTGTCCTAGACTGAAGTGTTGAGGAAGATTGTGTCCTAGACTGAAGTGTTGAGGAAGATTGTGTCCCAGACTGTAGTGTTGAGGAAGATTGTGTCCCAGACTGTAGTGTTGAGGAAGATTGTGTCCCAGACTGTAGTGTTGAGGAAGATTGTGTCCCAGACTGTAGTGTTGAGGAAGATTGTGTCCCAGACTGTAGTGTTGAGGAAGATTGTGTCCTAGACTGTAGTGTTGAGGAAGATTGTGTCCCAGACTGAAGTGTTGAGGAAGATTGTGTCCCAGACTGAAGTGTTGAGGAAGATTGTGTCCCAGACTGAAGTGTTGAGGAAGAGGAAGAGTGTTGTGTCCCAGACTGAAGTGTTGAGGAAGATTGTGTCCAAGACTGAAGTGTTGAGGAAGAACATGTCCTAGGCTGAAGTGTTGAGGAAGAACGTGTCCTAGGCTGAAGTGTTGAGGAAGATTGTGTCCTAGACTGAAGTGTTGAGGAAGATTGTGTCCTAGACTGAAGTGTTGAGGAAGATTGTGTCCTAGACTGTAGTGTTGAGGAAGATTGTGTCCTAGACTGAAGTGTTGAGGAAGATGGTTACCCAGACTGAATTAAACACTCACCTTTCTCTGAAGGACATTGACTCTCCTTTCTTTGATGTCCAGGTGGTCTCGGATTTCTGACATCTCCAGCTCCATGCGTCGTTTCTCGGCCTGGGCCGACTGTGACTGCCGACTCTTCTTGTCTATGGCAAACTCCTTCTCCTTCATCCTGTCCTGTAAGTCCTCGATCTGGAAGTGGGACAAACAGTGCAGGATACATGTAGTCAGTGATTTGTCAGTAACCATCACAAAATGGAAAACACAAAATGCTGATGAACTTGAAGAGAGTAGTCCAAACATATACAAGCACATCTTTGACAGGGATATTTTTATCCTTAAAATATACAAAAGATGATTCTCATAATGCCAGCTGTATATCTAAATAGAATGATATATTTGATAATCCCGAATACTTTAAAAAGTATACATTCAAAATCAAAATTGGGGTGGAAATGAATTTTATGACCAGCCAAGAATATCTCAGTCAAAGGGAACCATCAGACCTCAGGACTTTCCATTCAAAACTACTGACAAACAGATAAGAAGCCTTGGGGAAAAAACAGTGATGGTCATGGATGAATTTCATGGACTAGACCAATAGTCCTGTATAATCTATTTAAGCTATTAAGCTCCAGTATATATTTGCCCTCACATCAGTCTGCAGCATGCCCGTGTGTAGCTCCTTGGCAACGATCTGCTCCTTCAGCACTGCGATGTACTGTTTCTGTTCCATGTGCTGCCTCTCCAGCGTCTCCACCTTCATCTTTACACCTGTTAGCGTCGTGTCCTTCTTACTCAGATTGGCTTTCAGGTCCTCGATCTACAACCACAACTATCTATATCAGAAAACACAAACACACGAAGTCCTCAGTCAGAAAACCAGTTATAATCATCTTGGTTTGTTTGTTTATTTGTTGTGTAATGCAGCACCCAGGAATATTCAAGCTTCATGGCGGCGGTCTGTAAATAAACGAATCTGGACCAGACAATGCAGTGATCAACATCAGGATCATTGATATATGCCATTAGGATATAATGACACGTGTCAGTGAACCTGATTACCTAATCCCCTTAGTAGCCTCTTACCACAAACATGGGTTGCTGAAGTCCAATTCTAACCCGGATCTTCACGAGTCTAATCATCTTAGACAACAAATTATTGACTAATGGTGACAATACTAAGGCATTTTTCAAAGGTCAAATGACTCTCGACAAATTATTGCTGTGTTTTTTCTGATAGTAAATGAATAACTGTATAGACCGGTGCCGTTTTGGGCCTTATTTCTGTATTCTAGATGTAACACCCATCAAGATAAGTAAACTAATACTTACCTCTTTTTTGAGGACTTTATCCTTGGCACTGGGACTGTTTTTGAGAGATCCATCACGGCGATCACGGTCACCAGCATCCTCACATATCCTGGAGATCTGGTCCTCCAGCTCCTTCACCTCCTTCTCCAGGGCAGAGATCCGGGAATCCTGGCAAACAGTTAGATCTTAGTTACGGTGAACAGTCAGATCTCAACTATAGTGAACAGTCAGATCGTTTACACACAGTCAGATCTCAGCACTAGTGAACAGTCAGATCTCAACTATAGTGAACAGTCAGATCTCAGCTATAGTGAACAGTCAGATCTCAGCTATAGTGAACAGTCAGATCTCAACTATAGTGAACAGTCAGATCTCAACTATAGTGAACAGTCAGATCTCAGCTATAGTGAACACAGTCAGATCTCAACTATAGTGAACACAGTCAGATCTCAACTATAGTTTACACACAGTTAGATCTCTGTTATAGTGAACACAGTCAGATCTCAACTATAGTGTACAGTCAGATCTCAGCTATAGTGAACACAGTCAGATCTCAACTATAGTTTACACAGTCAGATCTCAACTATAGTGAACAGTCAGATCTCAACTATAGTGAACAGTCAGATCTCAGCTATAGTGAACACAGTCAGATCTCAACTATAGTTTACACACAGTCAGATCTCAGCTATAGTGAACACAGTCAGATCTCAACTATAGTTTACACACAGTCAGATCTCAGCTATAGTGAACACAGTCAGATCTCAACTATAGTTTTACACACAGTCAGATCTCAGCTATAGTGAACAGTCAGATCTCAACTATAGTGAACACAGTCAGATCTCAACTATAGTGAACAGTCAGATCTCAGCTATATAGTCAACTACAGTCAGATCTCAACTATAGTGAACATAGTCAGATCTCAACTACAGTGACACACAGTCAGATCTCAACTATAGTGAACAGTCAGATCTCAACTATAGTGAACAGTCAGATCTCTACTATAGTGAACAGTCAGATCTCAGCTATAGTGAACAGTCAGATCTCAGCTATAGTGAACACAGTCAGATCTCTACAGTTTTACACAGTCAGATCTCAGCTATAGTGAACAGTCAGATCTCAACTATAGTGAACAGTCAGATCTCAGCTATAGTGAACAGTCAGATCTCTCAGATCTCAGCTATAGTGAACACAGTCAGATCTCAACTATAGTGTACAGTCAGATCTCAGCTATAGTGAACACAGTCAGATCTCAACTATAGTTTACACACAGTCAGATCTCAGCAATAGTGAACAGTCAGATCTCAACTATAGTGAACACAGTCAGATCTCAACTATAGTGAACACAGTCAGATCTCAGCTATAGTGAACAGTCAGATCTCAGCTATAGTGAACAGTCAGATCTCAACTATAGTGAACACAGTCAGATCTCAACTATAGTTTACACACAGTCAGATCTCAGCTATAGTGAACACAGTCAGATCTCAACTATAGTGTACAGTCAGATCTCAGCTATAGTGAACACAGTCAGATCTCAACTATAGTGAACACACAGTCAGATCTCAGCTATAGTGAACACAGTCAGATCTCAACTATAGTGAACACAGTCACAGTGAACTACAGTCAGATCTCAGTCATAGTGAACACACAGTCAGATCTCCCCTATTGTGTAGAGTCAGATTTCAGCAATAGTGAACAGAGTCAGATCTCAGTGATAGCGAACACTCAGATCTTAGCTATTGCGAACACACAGTCAGATCGCAGTCACAGTGAACAGCGACCCTACTGTAGCACCAGCAGATCCAACCAGACACACATTATGACAACATCGACATAAGTAGGATAACAACATGCAGTATATAAATTGTTTGAACAGTTTTCAGACAATATGCTATATATTACACTCAAATCAGGGCCATCAGGAATGGGCTCACACTGCACCAAATATGGAACTGAACCAGGGTTTCTGTGTGACAAGCCACAGCATGAACCACTGGGCTAACCTGCCACCCTCATTTGTATGAAATGAAGTCTACTGAACCAAACCAATAAGGATAATGAAAGTTGTTTTGTTAATATTCCCATGAAACCGTGTTTTCAGTTTCCAGTAAAACACAGATCCTCAAAATGATCATTGTCCCAAATTTGTTTCTGTTATATATATCTTACGATTTTTAATCAGTTAAATAGATATAACTCATATTTCTATGATTGCTTTTCTTCGTAACCATGACAATAAAATTACTGTATTTTGTCTCGAAGCACAATAGAAATAGGACAATGAAGTTGAGGAAGCCACATAATGTCTTTGTCATTATCCAAACTTTTAGCATCTTAACAGAACAATAAGCATTATGCTTCCAGGCCTTCTTGGGGAATCATAACTGGGTTCATTACAGCTAACTCTGTCTTAAACTCATTGGAACCAGAGATGACTGCATGAAATGATACAAGTATGTCATTAATAAATCAGTCGAAGAAATCAATGGTGGCAGCTGTTATGATCCTAGGCTCTACAAACATCAGGGTAATGATATGTTTTACCATTTGGAAGTAAAATTACAAATAAATCTGACTTATCAATGTAAAATGTTAAACACAGCATACCCCTGTTGGCCATACGTTATTTATTGTGAGTCCAGTAAATGAGGGTCACATGGTGTCCTGTTGCAAGGGACGGAATGTGAGATGACCCCAGTTATCAGACTCCACTATCACCTCCAGAACAAGCACATGACTGAGTCTGTGTGCTTGTAGCTCTCATTACAGCATAGAACAAGGTTGCCTTCAACTTGGAGTGTTTCAAGACTCAAACATATTGTGCTAATCATGGGATGGTAAAAATGCTTGCTTATTGTGCTTATCTTTGGACTAATAACACTTTCATAATGTGCTTACCTTTGACTCTAGTAATGCTTGCATAGTGTGCTTACCACTGCCTCTAGTAATGCTTGCATATTGTGCTTACCTTTGACTCTAGTAATGCTTGCATAGTGTGCTTACCACTGACTCTAGTAATCCTTGCATAGTGTGCTTACCACTGACTCTAGTAATGCTTGCATAGTGTGCTTACCATTGACTCTAGTAATGCTTGCATAGTGTGCTTACCACTGACTCTAGTAATCCTTGCATAGTGTGCTTACCATTGACTCTAGTAATGCTTGCATAGTGTGCTTACCACTGACTCTAGTAATCCTTGCATAGTGTGCTTACCATTGACTCTAGTAATGCTTGCATAGTGCACTTACCATTGACTCTAGTAATCCTTGCATAGTGCACTTACCATTGACTCTAGTAATCCTTGCATAGTGTACTTACCATTGACTCTAGTAATGCTTGCATAGTGTACTTACCATTGACTCTAGTAATCCTTGCATAGTGTACTTACCATTGACTCTTGTAATGCTTGCATAGTGTACTTTACCATTGACTCTAGTAATCCTTGCATAGTGTACTTACCATTGACTCTAGTAATGCTTGCATAGTGCACTTACCATTGACTCTAGTAATCCTTGCATAGTGTGCTTACCACTGACTCTAGTAATGCTTGCATAGTGTGCTTACCACTGACTCTAGTAATGCTTGCATAGTGTGCTTACCACTGACTCTAGTAATGCTTGCATAGTGTGCTTACCTTTGACTCTAGTAATGCTTGCATAGTGTGCTTACCACTGACTCTAGTAATCCTTGCATAGTGTGCTTACCACTGACTCTAGTAATGCTTGCATAGTGTGCTTACCACTGACTCTAGTAATGCTTGCATAGTGTGCTTACCATTGACTCTAGTAATGCTTGCATAGTTTGACTCTAGTAACCTTGCATAGTGCACTTACATTGACTCTAGTAATCCTTGCATAGTGTGCTTACCACTGACTCTAGTAATGCTTGCATAGTGTGCTTACCTTTGACTCTAGTAATGCTTGCATAGTGTGCTTACCATTGACTCTAGTAATGCTTGCATAGTGTGCTTACCACTGACTAGTAATCCTTGCATAGTGTGCTTACCACTGACTCTAGTAATGCTTGCATATTGAGCTTACCTTTGACTCTAGTAATGCTTGCATAGTGTGCTTACCTTTGACTCTAGTAATGCTTGCATAGTGTGACTACTGGCAGGCTGCTGTTTGAGCTGTAACTGAGCTTCGCTGACATCGTCCTTCATTCTCATCATTTCCTATGGACAAAAACAAACAACTGTAATGCATAGTAAACCCCGTAACTATAATTTGATCCTTACCATAATTCAAGCATATACTTTAAAGGATCAAAGACTGGAGGCCGCAACACCAGAGTCCATTAAAAGTATGTGTGCTTGCTGCCTATATGAAGATACATGTATATTACACAATTAACTTTATCATCCCCCTTCCAAGTGCTTATCAAATTAATTCCTGACCCTCCACAAAACCTAACTGATTCCTAATGCTAAGGATCTGGATCCCGATCCACAAGATGTCTGCAGCGCTACAACATTCTTAATCCTATGATAAACTATAGAGATATGACAGGTCATAACGTTACGAACACTTCGTAGATCGGCACCCAGCTTCAGAAGTCATAACAATGCTGATTCCAATAAAACAGATGTTCTTGTTTTCATCTTATTAAACATGTCCACAGAGCGCTTTTGTTTGCATTTGAAGACTCAAATTTGTCCTGATCCAAAAACATTTGCAGCTCTTATTTTCACGATGACCCGAAACACATCACTGCAGTCGAAACTGCCACAGTATCATAACGCACATGGCGTAAATAAACGACACGTTTAATAGATTTGATATTCCCCAACTGATACTGTAAGTTATAGCACTAGAAGATCGGAAGCATATATTTTCTATTCGTTAATGATTATGTTGGGAAATGATTTTTAAGGTGGTATCAAATTATGAATACACTGTATTGGAATCTAGTTTCTCCTTAATGCTTATAATATATAAACTATAACTTGGTTCAAGTCAGAGAAATCACTTGAATCTGCTGACCCCAGAGGTAGAATCAACTTGGCACTTAGTAGCTCAATGACTCAGCTTCCAGAATCAGCATGTTTCTCGTACTTGACTTAAAGTTCGGACCACACTCACCAATAAATTAAAGATATATTTCTTGCGAAGATGTCATGGAACTTTTTGTTTGCTGTTTGAGGCCGCCCTCAGCAATATTCCAGCTATATGGCAGCGGACTGTAAACAATCAAGTCTGAACGAGACAGTCCAGTGATCAACAGCATGAGCATCAATCCGCGCAATTGGGATACAATGACATATGTCAACCAAGTCAGCGAGCCTGACCACGGGATCCTGTTAGTCACCTCTAACAACAAGCATGGATTGCTGAAGACCATTTCTAACACAGATCTTCAGGGTTCATGAAATTAACTGTGTACACTTACATCATTTAACCTCATGATTTCTCTCATTTTATCTCCTACTTTTTCTTCTGCCTTTTGTCGTTTTCTTTCTTCTTCGACTATATGTGACTTTAACGTCTCTAGTTCTTTACGGTCTTCCTCCATTTTGCCTGTCGCAAGACCTTTACTTTGTAACATTTCTAAAAGTTTCTTAATACTTTCATCTCTAGCAGACAGAGTCTGTTTTTGTGTGTCGATCCTGAGTTCCATCTCGTCTATGGTTCTACGGAGTATAACAATTTCCTTCTTCATGCGCGCCTTATCCTTCTTCATGGTGTCGAACTCCCCTACATCAACAAGGCTCTGCTCTTTGCCGGAACTGCTCAGTTCCAGGTCGTGCAGCACCCCTGCATGTTTCTGTAACAGAGAGTAGGCCATGGTCAGTAAAACCTTTGATACAAAACAATCATATAACAACAAATGAATTACAGACTCATAAGAGTGAGTAAGTGAGTTTAGTTTTACGCCGCACTCAGCAATATTCCAGCTATATGGCGGCGGTCTGTAAATAATCGAGTCTGGACCAGACAATCCAGTGATCAACAGCATAAGCATCGATCTGCGCAATTGGAAACCGATGACATGCGTCAACAAAGTCAGTGAGCCTGACAACCGATCCCGTTAGTCGCCTCTCACGACAAGCATGGGTTACTGAAGATCAATATGCTAACCCGGACCTTCACGGGTCCAGACTCATAAGAAATCTCTGCTAAGAGTAGAATTCATTAAACAATTCACACCTAAGCTATGAGTATGTGTTAATGAATCACTGATTATGTTTGAGTAAAGATATCAGGTGGTCCTGAAAAGATGAGCCTATCATAAACACTTGCAAAGGCAAGTCAATAGTTCACCTAAAGGACCATGGGAGAACAGCCTAACTACACTCATCAATATGATGTTTCTCCCACCTTCAGGGGGCTTCTTACAATATTACAGTCAGTAGTATTTAAAAAATACATCCTATACTAAAAGCTCAAATAGTTAGTTTTCCAGAGGATCTGTACCATCCGCCTCACTAACCTGCTGCCCAAATGAATCGCCTAACTGACATGAATTATTACCACTGCCTTCAAAATGAATGTCCTTCAGACATAGATTACTAGTGCTTGTCAGCAGACAGAGTCTAACCATAGGGACATATCAGGTGGACACTGAACCACACCTTCCTTCCCCTCCTGATGCTGATAATGCCTCAGGCAGTTCCACAAGCAAAGGATTATATAGATCAATGGACTTTCTACAAAACCCACACTTGTGAAGCCTGTTTGAGCTAATGAAATAATTCACATCTCTTTCAGCATCCTCTTTGCCATACAGAACTGTGTCAGCAACATGACGATATTAAAACTGAAAATGGTAATGGCACTGAAGTTTCATGGAACAGAATCAATAATATCAGTACCGGGCTTGATGAATATATATTGAAAAGTTTGCAGTCCGATTCCTTTCTATTGATCTTGAGATCTGATGCTTAATTGCACAAAATAAAAAACAAACAGTCCCAAAGTCCAGGTAGATATCATCAGAATTCAACATGAAAGTCAAGACATTGAGGGAACAGACGGAAGTGCAGTAACTGAAGGACGAGGTGAGGTGAAATTGGGTGACATTGAAGATTACTTTGGTCATATACGACATTGTGTGTGTGTGTGTGTAACAGTTTTTGTTTTATCTGTTTTTAGCAATATTCCAGCAATATCATGGCGGGGAACACCAGAAATATGCTTCACACATTGTACCCATGTGGGGAATCGAACCCGGGTCTTCAGTGTGACGATTGAATACTTTTACCACTAGGCTACGCCACCGCTCCCACAGATAAAAGAGATTCACTCAAAGATTCAACCATCTTCAAGAGCCCAGTAGACAGTCAAGTCAGACAAGACAATCACCTTGGCTCTCTGGCTACGTTTCAGCCAGTGGGCCACTGTGGAATCACTACATATAACTGGTACAGTTGTCAGTATGTCTGTTGTCTCCTCAACAAGAGTATAACATGTCAGGCCTCCACAAGCCCAGGGATACTTCAATTAGTCTTAGAGTCTATTTGGTTCAATTTGTCAAAAAAGTAGACTGAATCTTAATTTTCTGATTGGCTCTTATCCTACTAATACCAGTAAAACCTTAATTTCCTGTTTTTGAGCAAATATTGATCAGCGACCTAGAAGTCAATAGTAAATCCCCAGGGCGTTTAAAAGATCCATCATCCAGTCAGTTCTACAGAATTACGAAGAAGACAATGGGCTTCTTAACCTTTCACTCAAAGCATGGCAAGGAGGATTTACCTTTCTTGTAGTGTCATGTCTTGAAATTCTATACAGTACAACCTTGGTAATCCAGACATTAGCATTCTCAATAAAATCAGTCTGTGTCATTAACCTGAGTGTTGTCGTATTTGGCTCTTGGCATCCTTAGCAGATTTCAGTGTTATAATATGAATTATCATTAGCTGAGTTTCCTAGACCGAACAGGATTTTACCAGACTTAGACCTCGGGCCAGAAGCTAAAGTCAAAGTGTTCAGACTAAAGCATTTCAGGATTATTAATCCAATGGAACAAACTATTGTCCTGTGTCTATCTTTTACTCTGCTTGACAGCAGTGATGTCATCTAATTAAGACCTGTGTCCTACCTAGACCTTTGCTAGAGACAGCGATTTCATCTAAGTAGGACGTGTGTCCTACGTGGACCTCTGCTTGAGACAGCGATGTCATCTAATTAAGACCTGTGTTCTACGTGGACCTCTGCTTGAGAGCAGTGATGTCATGCAATCAGAGCCTGTGTCCTACCTAGACCTCTGCTTGAGGCAGTGATGTCATCTAATTAGGACCTGTGTCCTACGTGGACCTCTTCTTGAGGCAGCGATGTCATCTAAGTAAGACCTGTGTCCTACGAGGACCTCTGCTTGAGAGCAGTGATGTCATGCAATCAGAGCCTGTGTCCTACCTAGACCTCTGCTTGAGACAGTGATGTCATCTAATTAGGACCTGTGTCCTATGTGGACCTCTACTTGAGCCAGCAGTGATGTCATCTAATTAAGACCTGTGTCCTACGTGGACCTCTGCTTGAGAGCAGTGATGTCATCTAATTAGAGCCTGTGTCCTACGTGGACCTCTGCTTGAGACAGTGATGTCATCTAATTAGGACCTGTGTCCTATGTGGACCTCTACTTGAGGCAGCGATGTCATCTAAGTAAGACCTGTGCCATGTCATCTAATGACCTGTGGACCTCTGCTTGAGAGCAGTGATGTCATGCAATCAGAGCCTGTGTCCTACCTAGACCTCTGCTTGAGACAGCGATGTCATCTAAATGAGGACCTGTGTCCTATGTGGACCTCTACTTGAGGCAGCGATGTCATTTAAGTAAGACCTGTGTCATACGTGGACCTCTGCTTGAGGCAGCGATGTCATCTAACTAAGACCTGTGTCATACGTGGACCTCTGCTTGAGGCAGTGATGTCATCTAATTAGGACCTGTGTCCTATGTGGACCTCTACTTGAGGCAGCTAAGTCATCTAATTAGGACCAATGTCCTACGTGGACCTCTGCTTGAGACAGTGATGTCATCTAATTAGGACCTGTGTCCTATGTGGACCTCTACTTGAGGCAGTGATGTCATCTAATTAGGACCTGTGTCCTACGTGGACCTCTACTTGAGGCAGCTATGTCATCTAATTAGAGCCTGTGTCCTATGTGGACCTCTACTTGAGGCAGTGATGTCATCTAATTAGAGCCTGTGTCCTACCTAGACCTCTACTTGAGACAGCTATGTCATCTAATTAGAGCCTATGTCCCACGTGGACCTCTACCAGAGACAGTGATGTCATCTATTTAAGACCTGTGTTCTACGTGGACCTATGCTTGAGAGCAGTGATGTCATCTAATTAAGACCTGTGTCCTACGTGGACCTATGCTTGAGACAGTGATGTCATATAATTAAAACCTGTGTTCTACATGGACCTCTGCTTGAGGGCAGGGATGTCATCTAATTAAGACCTGTGTCCCACGTGGACCTATGCTTGAGACAGTGATGTCATGTAATTAGAACCTGTGTCCCACGTGGACCTCTGCTTGAGACAGTGATGTCATCTAATTAAGACCTGTGTGCTACGTGGACCTCTGCTTGAGACAGTGATGTCATCTAATTAGAGCCTGTGTCCTACGTGGACCTCTGCTTGAGACAGTGATGTCATCTAATTAAGACCTGTGTCATACGTGGACCTCTGCTTGAGACAGCGATGTCATGTAATTAAGACCTGTGTCCTACGTGGACCTCTGCTTGAGAGCAGTGATGTCATCTAATTAGGACCTGTGTGCTACGTGGACCTCTGCTTGAGACAGCAATGTCATCTAATTAAGGCCTGTGCCCTACGAGGACCTCTGCTTGAGAGCAGTGATGCCATGTAATTAGAGCCTGTGTCCTACATGGACCTCCGCTTGAGACAGTGATGTCATCTAATTAAGACCTGTGTCATACGTGGACCTGTGTCATACGTGGACCTCTGCTTGAGACAGTGATGTCATGTAATTAGGACCTGTGTCCTACGTAGACCTCTGCTTGAGACAGTGATGTCATCAGTCAGAGACGTAACGTGTACGCGAGACGGCAGCGCTCCGCGGTACTAACTGAAGCGCTTGACCCTAATTAATTCAATCACCCGTGGAACCAACTCGATTGGGTGCAAACACGGCGCAGGGTGAGTAAAGCGTCCCGTAAAATCACCAAGCGTGGTGGTTACTTGACAGTCGTGAATGAGCAGGTTTCTCGGGAAGAGTCGGTTGTCTACATATGCAAATTACGTAAAAATAATTAATCGCATTTGAAAAAGTGATTCATTTTAATGGATGCCATGGCTAGTTTTAGAAATGTTAAAGTATTCATCTTTGCAGTGAGTTCTGGAACATTTTGAAACTAATATGACCTCTACCGCCATTGCATCTTGCATGAATCAAAACTTACTTCGTCAAGAGTAGAAATCTTGCAAACAACTATAAAGTCATTTGCATATTTTCCGGATGTGACGTATTGTGCACCTTCACCTGCAAATGCACACGGCTCGCTTTTTAAAAAGCGGAAAAAATTATGTTATCGTGTATCCAAATGAATAGAAGTCTCAGATGTTTTGGTTAAAATGATATTACTGATCTCAATTCCTAAATTCCTAAATAGTTTTCAATATTTAAACTAGTTTAGATTGTCCTAAGTAAACGTTTGACAATGGTTTGTATATTGTGATCGTGTTGAACGAGTTGCGACTATGTGCGACAGAATTGAAGATAAAACATCAGTCAACCCGAAAATATATATAAAATGCCAAATGTCAATGGCGTTCATAATCCTGATACCGATAACAT